ATCAATTGATTGCCTCCTGCAGGCCCACAATTGGGGATCTAGCACATAACCCAGGCATGTGCCCCAAGAGGAGAGTAGAACCAGCAACCTATCGGTGCATGGTATGGCACCCGACCAACTGAGTCACACCAGCCAGAGGTATTCTCTATCTTTTGATTTCTTATATCATTCTGGTCAACTGAAAATTCAGTGTAAAGATGATCAATATATTTGTGGATAACTTCCAGATCTTTAGTTGGAATCTTCTCTTGAGAGCTAAAATAACTGTCTGTTAAATACTTTGTACCTAGTTTCAGTCAGTCAATAAATTTTTACTGCATAGCTGCTATGAGCCAGACACTAGTGCTAGAAATGTATTCAGAACCTAATAAGAAAGTCATTGTCTTCAAGGAACAGATAATCTAAATGGCAGACCAAAAAGTCCAACTCTAAAGGTCCAAAATGGATTACTGCTGTTTCCTCTTCCAATGGATTCAACAAATTAATAGACCTCACATTCTCATTACTGCCAAGGCGATAATGTGTAACTCCTTTCTCAATTCCATATTCGATCTGTTACCAAGTAAATGCTGTTCTTTATTTGCAATATTCCATTCCCACTGCCTGAGCCTAGTTCAAGCCATTAAGTACTTTCACCCAAACTACAACCACCATTGCTTCTGAAGCATTCTTTAATTTCTCATCTAATACATCCTGAACTCAAAAACCACAAACAGATGTGATCCATCACTTCACTAAATAAAAATGTTTAATAGTTCCTCAATAGACAATTCTAACCCCAAAACTTCTTCAGCTTGGCATTTATAGTCCTCCATTACTTGGTCTTTATCTATTAACTAGAGGTCTGTTGCACAGAGATTTGTGCAATAGGCCTTTCTTCCCTTGGCTTCCAGCACCGGTTTTCCTCCAGCACCTGGGACCCAGGCCTTCGCTCTGGCTGGAGTCTGCCTTCTTCATCTTCACTGCAGACTCCGTCCAGAGCCTGCCATCTTTGCCTTCACTGCTGCATCTGGAGTGCAGCTCCTGCAGATCCCTTCTCGCACCCGCCCTCCCTCCCTCTCAAAGCAGGCATCCTGCCCTGACGGGCCACTCTGTGCCTTGAACAGCAGGGCGACCTCCATCTTTGTCCTTCTAATTTGCATATTCCTTCCTGATTGGCTGGTGGGCATAGTGGACCGATGGTCACTTTGCATGTTTCTCTTTTATTACTGTAGACTAGAGGCTCAGTGCATGAATTTTATGCTTGTAGGGTCCCTAGCGGCTGGCAGAGGCTGGCCGGGTACTCCCTCCCTTCCCCTGGCCTGCCCCACTCCCTGGTCGAACTCCCAGAAGAACTCCCTGTAAAGGGGACAATTTGCATACTACTATTTTATTATATATAATAGGATAGGAGCCCATTGCAGGAAGATTCCTGCAAGCAGCCACTGCTGCCACGCTCGCATGCACTGCCGCTGCCACCGCCACCTGCTCCACCCAGCCCCGCCCTACCCGCTGCCACTTTCCCTCTGGCAGCCACCTTGCTTTCCGCTTTTCCTCCCTCTTCCTTCTAAGCTGTCTTGTCTTCACTCCTCCCTCCCTCAGCGTAAGCAAATTAACCGCCATCTTTGTTGGGTTAATTTACATACTGGCTCTGACTGGGTGTGGGCGTAGCGAAGGTATGGTCAATTAGCATTTTTCTATTTTATTAGTGTAGATACTTTTTTATCTCTGCCATCCACTATTTCCTTACCTTTTGCTACAGCTAATATGGCTATTTAATCTTATTTGGAAATTCCTTGAATATTCCCTACCTATTTTCATTTATGTCATTTCTCTCCTCCAAACCCCAACCTGATTTAACAGTCTTCATTCATTTGTACCTTTCAGAAACTTACCCAACCTTTGTTTCAAATAACATCATTTTTCAAAAATCATCCCTCCATCCTGACTCTATATGTGTAAAGGCTATTTTTTAAAAAAAATATTTTGTTGATTTTCCACAGAGAGGAAGGGAGAGGGATAGAGAGCTAGAAATGTCGATGAGAGAGAAACACTGACCAGCTGCCTCCTGCACATCCCCCAGGATGTGCCTGCAACCAATGTACATGCCCTTGACCAGAATCAAACCTAGGGCCTTTCAGTTCTCAGACCAACAGTCTATCCACTGAGCAAACCGGTTCCGACAAAGCTATTTTTAATGTAACTTTTACTTTATTTCTAGTGTATTTACCTATGTATGTTACATCCTTCCTGTTAAGATTATAAGCAACTTGAAATATGTCTTATTCATCTTTGTCCTCCCAAAGTACATTACGCACGGCTGACATTCAATAAATATTAAATACACATTGAACTGAAAATAAAATATATACATAAAATAATAGCATGGTCCATAAAATTATATAAGAAGTTTCCTTCACTTTCTTAGGAAAAAAAATCACTGCCATGAGAATACCTTTTGTAAAAGTCACCTTATTTATTTTTTATAATGACAGATTAAAACGTGATCCCCCCCAACATTAATCAGTACACCTTCCACCTTATGTGTACATGAATAATTATAAAAACTTCCTTAGCTCAGAATATAAAATTGCTTTCCAAGGTTTCAATTTTACACTATCATATGTACCTAATGATCATACACTCAATCGCCTTACCATTGGAAATAGTAGTATAGAAGGAAATGGCTTGCCTGGAGGCTGCCCCAAAACACTATCACTAACATAACCCAAATTTTTTTAGAGCGGGCCAGTCGTAGTATAATTATACTTCTTGGTTTCGCTCCCTCCACACTTTCAGAACATCTATCAACCCAAATGTTTGTATAGAGCCATACTTTCAGGTTCACCTGTTAAAAATGATAGATGTTAAGTTAATTCAACAAAGATTTACTGAATACCTACTCTGTGGAAAGCATTGTTGAGACTCAAAAATTAATGAAAATGCTTATCTTCTGGAACTCATGATTAAATGCACTACACACACATAAACAGCTCCATTATAAGGCAGATTATGTAAGTGCTAAAAAGCTTCCAATAAGGTACAAACAGAGCTCTATGAAAGAGAGAGATGAATTTAATCAAGAGTTATGAGATGGGTTTCTATTTGGCCTTTTTAAAATCAAGCAATAACATTCACAATTTTCAAGATTATTATTTAAGTAAATAATTACATTTGTTTTAATTATTTTTATTCACTAATAATACAACAGAATTGGGTTTTTCCCATTGAAAAGGTACTGATGCAACATGTAAGTTAAAATTTACATTAAACAGATTTTTTTTAGCTCACCTTGAAACATGGGGAAATGTATTTTACAGAAAGAACTTGTGTGGTATAATTGAGAAGATTTTTGTATGTTCAAGAGAAAGACATGTGTCCAATAACTTCTATTAATAATTACTTAAAACTATACTTTCAGAGAAAGGCTAGGTACATGTAAATGGGCCACCCAATTTTTCAACACACTTAATGGTACATTAAAACAGAAAACAGTGAACAAATGAAAATTCATTTTTCATTCATACCACTTCCTGCAACATTGGCTTCTTCCAGATATACAGCCAAAGGTCTGAATCAGACCTTCAAGCATTTGCTTTTCAAGTGGACACCAACCATTTCTAGATTTAGATACTTCCTTGAAGATCCTGAGCTGCCATGACCTAATGCTGGGTCTGCGGAACACTGTACAACAGATGAAAGGACCACACTCATTTCAGCTTAAAATAACTTGCACAAAGGGGAGGGGAAAGTCTGGGTTGATAGATGCCTATGGAGCACATTTAAAAAGAAGAAATTATGATAAGACAGGAGTGAAAGCCAACCAGGGAACATGTAAAAATTAATATGGCATTCCCAAATTGCTACTGTATGTTTTAAAAACTTTTGGCGTTTAATTACAATTATGAAATTCACCAGAGGCTTTGGAATCACTGAATTTAACAGTTAAGCAACAAATTAGGGGGAGGGAAATTGTAGGGTAAATTAAATGTAGTTTTAGAAAACATATCTGCATTTAAGTATTTCATTAAAACCAATCTCTTCAGATTTACTATACAAAGGAATCCGATTATGTAGATTAGTCAGGGGAAGCTGGGAAGGAATAACTAATGTAAGTTTGGTAACATAACAGGCTGCACGGTGCAGTTTCCTGCTTACAGTAAGGAGCCCAGTAAGTGGGTTGAGCACAGCAGTATTTGCACACAGCGTGGTCACCCAACAACAGCTAGCGGCTCCTGTCCATCCTCCCTCACGTCTCTCCTGGCCTCTGACAAGTCATCCCTTTCCACCTGTGCGCCAGTCCGCTCCACCCCAAAGAAAATGATTTCCGTGCAGGTGGTCAAATCGCCCTCACACTCGACTTGCTCACACTTCCCCGCTGGGGAACGAGCGGTCTGCAGGCCGGGGGAGTTCGGAGAAGTGGTCTTGCTCGCGGTCCCACTCAAGCTCGCAGCCCCGCAGACACCGGGGGGAAAGGAAGCGGGGCGGCCTCGGGAGGACCGGCGGGTGGGGCAGAGGATGGAGGCACCGGCTCGGGCTGGCAGAGTGGAGGAGGGGAGCGAGGCGCCAAGGCGCCGAGGTGGGCGGCGGCCCTCCCCGCCCGCGCGGCCCCGGCGTGCGCCCCCTCTCCCCGGGCCAAGGGCCGCCGCCTTGCGCTCGGGAGATCTGAGAATTCGGCAGCTGTGCGCGAGAAATGCTGCCCAGCCTGCATGCAACACGCCGAGAGAGAGGAGAGAGAGGAGAGAGAGGAGAGAGAGGAGAGAGAGAGAGAAGAGAGAGAGAGAGAGAGAGAGAGAGAGAGAGAGAGAGAGAGAGAGAGAGAGAGAGAGAGAGAGGGAGAGAGAGGGAGAGAGAGGGAGAGAGAGAGGGAGAGAGAGGGAGAGAGAGAGAGAGAGAGAGAGGAGAGAGAGGAGAGAGAGGAGAGAGAGGAGAGAGAGGAGAGAGAGGAGAGAGAGAGAGAGGGAGAGAGAGAGAGAGAGAGAGAAATGTCCGGCGATGACGGGGGAGGAAGGGTGACTTACCCATGCTGCTGCTCCCGAGGGTGGGGCGCTCGGAGGGCGAGGCGGAGGTCTCCGTGGCGGGCGGCGCGGCGCTGGGTCCTCCCTCGGCCTCGGTCTCTCCTGCAGCCGGGGAGGGACCCGCGGAGCTCGGAGGCCGGGAAGGAGCAGAGGGTACTGCCGCTTCTACCTCGGTCTCTCCTGCAGCCGGGGAGGTCGGAGGCCGGGAAGGAGCAGCCGGTACTGGCACCTCTTCCTCGGTTTTCCCCGCAGCCGGGGAGGGACCCGGGTTGTTCGGCCGCCGGGAAGGAGCAGCCGGTACTGGCACCTCTACCTCGGTTTTCCCTGCAGCCGGGGAGGAACCCGGGGTGGTCGGCCGCCGGGAAGGAGCACTCGGTACTGCCGCCTTTACCTCGGTTTTCCCTGCAGCCGGGGAGGAACCCGGGGTGGTCGGCCGCCGGGAAGGAGCACTCGGTACTGCCGCCTTTACCTCGGTTTTCCCTGCAGCCGGGGAGGAACCCGAGGTGGTCGGCCGCCGGGAAGGAGCACTCGGTACTGCCGCCTTTACCTCGGTTTTCCCTGCAGCCGGGGAGGGACCCGCGGAGATCTGAGGCCGCCGGGAAGGAGCAGCCGGTACTGCCGCCTTTACCTCGGTTTTCCCTGCAGCCGGGGAGGGACCCGGGTTGTTCGGCCGCCGGGAAGGAGCAGCCGGTACTGGCACCTCTTCCTCGGTTTTCCCCGCAGCCGGGGAGGGACCCGGGTTGTTCGGCCGCCGGGAAGGAGCAGCCGGTACAGGCACCTCTATCTCGGTTTTCCCCGCAGCCGGGGAGGGACCCGGGTTGTTCGGCCTCCGGGAAGGAGCAGCCGGTACTGGCACCTCTTCCTCGGTTTTCCCCGCAGCCGGGGAGGGATCCGGGTTGGTCGGCAGCAGGGAAGGAGCAGCCGGTACGGGCACCTCTACCTCGGTTTTCCCTGCAGCCGGGGAGGGATCCGCGGAGGTCGACCGCCGGGAAGGAGCAGCTGGTACTGCCGACGCTGCTGCTGCTGCTGCTGCAGCTGCTGCAACCGGCTCGGCCACGGCGGGGACGAGCGACGGGGGGCGGGACGGGGCGGGGCAGGGCGGCGGGCGAGGCCTGCAGCGGGCGCGGCTCCGGGCGGGCCGGAAGCAGAGGCGCCGGAGCGGCCGGAACTGCATCCGCCCCGACGCGCAGCCCGTGCGCCCCGCCCTTCCCCCCACGCATGCGCAGTACCTCCCCTGCGCAACTCTCGGGTAGCCCAAGCACCTGAGCGGGCGGGTGGGCGTGTGTTTGCGGGTGGAGAGGCTCCATCGTGGCCGCCTGACTGGCGGACGGCGGGCCCCGAGAAGACGGTGCACGGCGTTTCTGCACCCCGGCCTCCTGCCGTGGGTTTGCCCCACGCTTACTACCCCGCCAGCCCACCACCGGAAAACGGGCCCGCGTTCGTTACGGGACGGCGGGCTGTAGTAGACGAAATTTCCCGAAGGAAGAGGAGCCGCCGGGTCGGGCAGGGGAAAGCCTAGCGGAGGCCCCCAACTATCTAGGCGGCGGGACCGGCGCCCCTGGGAGACAGATGCTGAGGGGCGCTCGTTTTCAGAGCGGCCCGGGGGTTCGCCGGGAGAGCGCTGGTTGTCAGTGCTCATATCAGTGACCGTTCAGGGTGTCCTGGCTGCGGCTGGTACGAGGACGGAGCGGTCCGCGCAGCCAGGAAGAGGGGGGGGCCGCCCAGGATTTCCTCGGGGAGAGTGTGGGTCCCCTTCCTAGAGGGGCGCGGCCTTCCATTCCCCTGGGGGGACGCGGGAGGAAGCCGTTGAGTGAAGTGCCTCCGGCGTCAGGCTCCACCCTCCCGGCCTGTACCCAGCTCCGCCCCTCTCCCCTTTAACGCGGCCCCCCCTCCGGTGGGTGGACTGGCCGCAGTTTCCGGCGTCCGCTGGGCCGCCGACGGCTCCCGGCCCCTCCCAGCTGCGGGGAAAGCCTGGGCCGCGCGCTCCCTACCCAGGGCGCCCTCCGACTGCGCATGCGCGGAGGGGGCGGGCGCCGGGGCTGGGCCCTGCGGGCGGGGAGCCTGCCCCGATCCCCCGGCGCCGGGCCTGGCCCCGGCTCCTCCGCTGCCCGGGTGGGGAGGAGTCAGTTCTGGCAGCGGAGAGGGGAGCAGTGAGCCGCACAGCCTATGGGAAGGAGGTGCTGAGTAGTTAAATCGAGGTTTCTTCAACACTTTTCAGCTTTTACTTTTCAATCCTAAGTTGAGGAAAGGTGTTTTGTTTTGTTTTTTTGGGGGGTTTTGTTTTTGTTGTTTTTACCCTCTTCCCTCTTACTGGGAAAAGGGTTTTCGTTTGTATGTACAAGCACTCAAGTCAGAATGGGCCTTGTAATTTGTTCAGGTGTGTGTGCTGACCAGGAATCAAAACCTAAACCTTTTGAGTGTATGGGACAATACTCTGACCAACTGAGGCACAAGCTGCGGCAGTATATTTTATAAACTCTAGTACCTCGCCAAGTAAAATTAGCTATTAAATGTTAGTTTATAGTGATGATGATGATGATAGCTGCTGTGTTGTTTCTATCTTAAACTATGAGTCCTCCATTGGCTAGAGCCTAGTCTTTGTACTTTTTATGCACCTGTTCACTCAATAGAGATTTATTGAGTGCCTACTATGTATCAGGCGTGATAATAGAATCTAGAGATAAAAAAATAAACTAAAAAATCTTATATGTTAGAAAAATTGTTTTGATGATACTTCTAGTCATTGATCAAACAAAGATAGAAAATATTCATCTGATATCAAAAGACTTTTCCAGAAATAAATCTGGTGCCTATGCTCCAGTAGATGATCAGGATATGATTAGGCCTCTACATAATAAAGGAGGAAATTCTGGCCTAATGCAGACATTTTCACATTCTATCTAAAAATATATATTCAGCCGAAACCAGTTTGGCTCAGTGGATAGACCATCGGCCTGCGGACTGAAAGGTCCCAGGTTCGATTCCGGTCAAGGATGACTCTCCCTCATCGATGTTTCTGACTCTGTCCCTCTCTCTTCCTCTCTGTAAAAAATCAATAAAATATATTTTAAAAAATAAAATATATATCTATATTTTTTTTCAAGTATTTCAGATTTATTTGAATAACAAGTTATTGTTGAAAATTGATTTTGGGCTAACCAGTAGCTTTTGGAGGTGCAGAGAGTATGAAGGAAATGTTTGTTAGAGGATCAGAAGCATTATATTTTGATAAGGTTTATAACAACTTACCTCATTGGTGCATGTAACCTTACAGAGATTAGAAGGTGATTTAAGTTCTTTAAAGGACATGTATTGAGAGGGGCAGAGAGAAAGGAAGGAGAAGGAGACGAGAAAGACTATTCTTTAAAAGAATAGTAGGGAACTGATTGCCTCTGAATATCATTTAAGGGAATCTCACTAACTGAAATTTGCAGGGGTAAAAATTATTTCACAGTGAACAATCTTCTGCTTAAACTCTATTTTAAAAAGGTTTCAGTAAGGTTAGAATGATCCAGGCTGAACAACTGAAATGTATTAACCCCTGGCTCATTGTAACTCTACCTCCCCCACCTCTCATTTACTTGCTATATTAACCATTTTTCTAAATCTTATAAAATCTAAATTTTTTTTCCATAGTCTATCACCTCAAGCTGATTAATGTCCATGTAGTTCAAAGAAATATATACATAGATTTTATATATTTTTAGATGGGCTCAAACACTTTATAAGAACCTGCAAGCAGCTTATTCATGGATAGAGTGAAATATACATTCCATTCTTCCCAGGGACAAAAGTAGACAAGTAAGAGATCAAACTCTGTAGGGCCTCAATGACTGAGGTGAGGTATTGGACATTATCCTGAAGGCAGCAGCAAGTTATTGGAGGTTTTAGTTAGAAGATTATATAGTTTACTAGAGGCCTGGTGCACAAAATTCATGCACAGGGTGTGTGTCCTTCAGCCCAGCCTGTACCCTCTCCAATCTGAGACCTCCCCCTCCCCAACTGGGAATGGGCCTAAATGGGCAGTTGAACATCCTTCTCACAATCTGGGACTACTTACTCCCAACTGCTCACCTGCTTGCCTTCCTGATTGCCCCTAAACACTTCTGCCTACCAGCCTGACCACTCCCCTGCTAACCTGCTTGATGCCTAACTGCTCCTTGCTAGCCTGTTTGCTCCTAACTGCTCTTTCCCGCAGGCCTGGTCACCCCTAACTGCCCTCCCCTCCAGGCTTGATCGCCCCCAACTGCCCTCCCTTTCAGGCCTGTTCCTTCCCAACTGCCCTCCCTTGCAGGTCTGGTCCCTCCCAACTGCCCTCCTCTGCTGGCCATCTTGTGTCCACATAGCTGCAGGATCCTTGACCACATGGGGACAGCCATCTTATGTGTTGGAGTGATGGTCAATTTTCATATTACTCTTTTATTAGATAGGATATTTTATTAGTTGCAAAGTGGAAAGTGGCTAAGAAAGAGGTCTAGATGAGACTGGGAGGCTATTAGGATGTTGTTGTAATAGTCCAGACATGAGTTGAACTAAAATGGAAACAATGGGCATAGAGAGCAATGGACAGTATTAAGACATATTAACAAAGTAGAATTGGCTTGGCGATTGATTAGATGTTGTGTGGTATTGTTTATATGGGAAGTACAATGATTTCAGCTATGCAAATTATGAGAGAGGTTAAATAACTTAGGATCTATAATTAATAAAGGCAACAAAATCTAAGACTTTCTAACTCCATCCCTCACTACAATAATATTTAGATAAACTTGTTGATGGAAAATATCTTATATTTTGTGTGACCTCAACAGACTAAATAATACTGGTTTGAAGGAAGAGTTTCTTGTGTAAGCATTTTTTTCTCCTGCCTCTCTGAACTTTACAAGTATAAATGGCGATATCTCTATACTACTATACTATTATATTTATGAATATTTAACAAAGTTACTTTTAATTAGAATTTAGGCTCAGTAATTCTTTAAATAATATTCAGCCTATTTTAATCTC